GAACATTTGCATCGTTGTTTTTATACCCAATCGTTCTCACACATTTGCATTTTAGATCTTCATTTATTTTTAATTTATGACTGAAAAATTATTTTATTTTTAAAGTTTATCGCTCGAAGAGGTTTTAATAAACATCTAAATACACGTATATACAAATATATATATATATATATATATATAATATGGGGCATGTGTAATTGCACAAAACACTATATAAAGGCTTATCGTACCTACCTAACATACATACATACATACCTACTTACCATCCTACCTTACCTACCTAACATACATACATACATACCTACTTACCATCCTACCTTACCTACCTAACATACATACATACATACCTACTTACCATCCTACCTTACCTACCTAACATACATACATACCTACTTACCATCCTACCTTACCTACCTAACATACATACATACATACCTACTTACCATCCTACCTTACCTACCTAACATACATACATACATACCTACTTACCATCCTACCTTACCTACCTAACATACATACCTATTTACCATCCTACCTTACCTACCTAACATACATACATACATACATACCTACTTACCATCCTACCTTACCTACCTAACATACATACCTATTTACCATCCTACCTTACCTACCTAACATACATACTAACAATTTCCTACCGATACTAACATCTTTGCTTACAAAAAGTTCCGTAACTTCTTCACTTCAATAAAAAGAAAGACTGAGCGCAAATTCTATGTCATCAATTTTGCTATTTCTAAAAACGATCCCAAATACCAATGGAAACTGATAAAGCAAGCCCTGAACTCCAATTCATCTTTTCTTCCTATATCTAAACTCACCATTAACAACATCCCCATTGACGACAAACAGGACATATGTGAACACTTGAACGAACACTTTATTACTATCTGCAACAAACTTCTTTCTACTCTTCCTGCTGTTTCAACTAATCCGATTTCATTCATAAGCCGCTCTCTATCTGATTCTATTGATTTTTACCCCATCTCAACTTCTGAATTGATAACTTTAACTGCCAAGATGAAAAATAATAAATCGGTTGCTGTTGACGGATTAAATATGTTTTTAATAAAAAATACAATTCACAATTTAACAATTCCCCTAATCCATATTTTCAATTTATCTTTGTCCACTGGTGTATTCCCTGATACTTTTAAAACCTCTAAAGTTATTCCTATATTTAAAAACGGTAAACCTGATGACATCAATAACTATAGACCCATTTCTCTTCTCTCTCCACTATCCAAACTTCTTGAAAAATTATTTTATACTAGGTTGTTCTCCTTTTTTGAGGCCAACAAAATTTTTTGCAATAATCAATACGGTTTTAGGCCAAACCACTCCACAGAGCTTGCTACTCTTGATTTCATACATCACATTTTATCCAGGTTGAATGACAAAAAGCTTTCAGTTGGATTATTTTTAGACCTTTCCAAAGCATTTGATGTAATCAATCATAACATCTTACTAAACAAACTAAAACTTTATGGTGTCAGAAACGTAGCCAACGATTGGATTAAGAGTTATCTCTCTTCACGTAAACAATACGTCTCCGTTGAAAATCACCAATCTACTACGGCCTTCATCCTAAACGGCGTACCTCAAGGCTCAATCTTAGGCCCTCTACTTTTTCTAATCTATATTAACGATATCCAAAATGTATCTACCGATATAAAATGTTTGCTTTATGTTGACGATACCAACCTCCTCTTTACTCCTGATAACATCTCAAACTGTTCTGATTCAATTAACCAAGTGCTCTCTAAATATTCTGATTGGTTCTCTGCTAATAAACTCATAATAAACTACTCTAAGTGTTCTTATATCATCTTTGGCCCAAAAATCTTATCAAATTTGTCTCCAAACCTAAACCTTAATATCAACAATATCTCAATAAATCGTGCATCTTCTTCTAAATTTTTAGGTATAACAATTTCTGAAAATCTTTCTTGGGAATCTCATCTACAATCTATCTCCTCTAAAATTAACAAACTCATAGGTCTTTTCTATAAAATCAAGCACAAATTAACCAAATCCGCCTTAAAAAAAACTCTACTATGCTTTTATATATTCTCATCTCACTTACTGCATAACCATTTGGGGTAACTCACCAAAAACCCATCTTCATTGTATGATATTGTCACAAAAAAGAGCTATACGCTTAATCTTCAATTTGAACCCTTTCTCTCCCACTAGCTCTTTTTTTAGTAAACATAATATTTTGTCGATTAATTGTTTATACATTTATTTTACAGCTATTTTTGTATTCAAATTCTTAAATAATTTACTTCCTTTTTTTCTAACTTTTTTACACTCAGTGAATCTGTTCAAACTCTCAAAACTAGACACACCACTATCTTTTACTCAGTAAAAACTCGCCTTAAACTCATTTCTACAAGTTTAAAAACAACTGGCCCTAAAATTTGGAAATTATTTGTGCCTCATGCCATTCATAACATAACAAACAAGCAACTCTTCAAAAAAAGGTTGCAATCTCAGCTTTACTTACTTCACCCCGACACCACCATCTAACGATTTATATACATTAATATATAGCTGTTGTTTAAATATGAATAGAAGTGTAGGTGTGTTGTGCGTGCGTGTGTGTGGTGCGTGTGTGTGGTGCGTGTGTGTGGTGCGTGTGTGTTTTTGTCTGTCCGTTATTATTATGATTATTTGACTGGTTCAGAAGTATTATCTGAATATATTTCATTAGAGTTAACATTTTTATAAAATTTCGATATAGTATTTGAATGCATTTGAACGCCGAAATTTAGTTTTTTAATTTTCTAACCTTTGAACCTTTATGTTTATTAATGACTTAGTTAAGGGTGGCCTCTCCACAAGTTTATTTTAAACTTATTTGGTCCTCTATAATGAAAATAAAATAAAATAAAAATACATACATACATACCTACTTACCATCCTACCTTACCTAACATACATACATACATACATACCTACTTACCATCCTACCTTACCTACCTAACATACATACATACATACATACCTACTTACCATCCTACCTTACCTACCTAACATACATACATACATACATACCTACTTACCATCCTACCTTACCTACCTAACATACATACATACACACATACCTATTTACCATCCTACCTTACCTACCTAACATACGGTTTTGTTTGTTTGTTTGAAAGGTTGTGTTGTGTGTTTATATGTATGTGTATGTTTATCTGTGTGTGTGTTTGTTTGTGTGTGTGTGTGTTTGTATAGTGCGTATTTAGGTTTGATGTTTGTACCCTATTTGAACCAACCCACCACTGCATATCTAGATAGACATTAGTATTCTTAGTACGATTTCTCTTTATTTATTTCTTTCAATTTTTTTAGGATTACATTAACAAAACATTTTTTCAGATTTAATGGAAGTAAAAAAAATTTTTGTTCAAATGTACCACAAATTATAATAATGTTTCTATAATTTAGTTGTTTTTTTTCCAACTTTTTCATTTTTTTTCTCAAGTAACTGCACTGAACTGTGCTTTAGATGAAATTAAATTTGTTAAAATAGATTTATAGAGAAAAATTATATAAGGGTGCAAAAATTATGACTACTACTACTACTGCTACTACTACTACTACTACTACTTCTACTTCTACTACTACTACTACTCCTCCTACTACTACTACTACTACTACTACTACTACTACTACTACTACTACTACTACTACTACTATTACTATTAGTACTGCTACTACTACTACTACTACTAGTAGTAATAATTATCATAATATTATTATTATTATTATTATTATTACTTCCTAAGAGATGAATTTTTTATTTGCACGAAGAAATTTCCAGTAAAATTTTTGCTATGTACGCATGAACGAATGAGTGAATGTGATGAATGATGATGATGGTGGTAATGGTGATGATGAACATGACGACGATGAAGATGAACATGTGACGACGATAATGATGATGATGAACGTGACATGATGATGATGATTGTGATAATGATGATGATGATGAACGTGACGACGACGACGACGATGATTGTGATGATGATGATTTATATAGAAAAGTTATATAAGGGTGCAAAAATTATGGCTACTACTACTACTGCTACTACTACTATTTGTGATGATGATGACGACGATGATGATGAACGTGACGACGATGATGATGATTGCGATGATGATGATTATGATGATAGTGACGATGATCACATTTCCGTATTAAACAGCGTACTAGAAAGGTTAAAATGAATAATAAATAAAAATGTTTAAAGTTACGATGGCCGAATATGAGAACATTAATAAATGGTCCATCTTTTCATGTTTTATATAATCAAGTCAAGATGATGACGACGATGATGATGATGATGATGACGACGATGATGACTACGATGATAATGATGATGACGATGATGATAAGGATGGTGTGTGAGAAAGGAAAGAGAGAGAAAGAGAGAAGTATATATACATATATATATATATATTTATTTATATATATGTATATATATATGTATATACCATTTTTATAATTGGAATAACAACAATGATGATAATGACGATGACTAATTTTAGTATATATATGTATATTAAAGTAGTATATATATATATAAATATATATAAAAGTAGTATATATATATATATATATTTAACAACACATATAGATATCATTTGTATACATACATGTACGTATATATATGAATATATGATATATATATATATATATATATATATATATATATATATATATATATATATATATATATATATATATATATTCATTCATTATTCTATAAGTCATAGCAACACTAGAAAATAATAAATTATATAAACAGAGTAAAAATTATAGATTATACACTAGAAAATAATAAATTATATAAACAGAGTAAAAATAATTAAAAATTAATAATAATAAAATGTATAATCCTGAAATGTTTAGCATGGAAAAATAACATTGAAAACCTGTTAGCACTGAGAAATTGTACGTTGTTAACATGGCAGAATGTACCGGTACTATTATGTGGTTCGTCATTCTCACTGTACTTAGTGTGTACTGGGTTGAGTTCGTTGGAGCTGTGCTGCTTGCAAAGTATAGGTGAGTACAGTTGTTGGTTGCTTGGGTTGCTTTTTTTCAAACATTTCTGTATATTTTCATTTTAGTCGTCGTTAATTATCTAGATGAATTCGAAGCTAGATTTGACTGAGAAGGTTGTCTGTTTATTTGTGAAGAATCTTGTTGACTATGACAGCCGAATTTTTAAAATTTGACCTGATATATTTAATTGTATTTATTAATATTTATCCATATGTATTCATAGTTTTTCTATACTTTCATATTTATTCATTTTTTTGCTTATTTCAGAGCAGTTACTTGAGAAAATAATAAAATAAGTTCGGTGAATCTTAACTATATGCCCGTGAAACTCACGCCAATAGTAGGCCAACACAGCCGTGGGCCATTTACGGTAATGCCTGGACACACAAACCAAATAATCCACTTAGGCCAATTCTATCACAATGCTCCCCTGCAATATATCAATTAGCGGAGACTCTCAACAGACTTCTTCAGCCATATGTCCCTCGTACCTTCTCAGTCAAACTTTGTTTTAGTTAGGTATCGATGAAATTATTGAGAGTTTATAATTAGTTTTAGTTTAGCTTAGTTTTAGTTTAGGTTAGTTTTAATGGTAGTTTAGTTTTGAAGATAATCAATTGTGTTAATTTTTGCAGCAGTTTTCAGATGTTTTCTTATGTTATTTTGTTTTGTTTTGTAAGGAAATAAATCTCGCCTCGTCTCGATGTTAAATTAACTTTTGTGGAGTATAACTTTATAAAACCATTATGAAAATTAATTAACCAATCAGTCACTCAATCAATAGTCGTTATCAACATCGTAATCATCTTCACCACTCTCACCATCATCACCTTCACCATCATCACCATCATCACTTTTACCATCCTCACCCTCACCATCACCATCAACACTATCACCCCCACCCCCACTAACGTCTCCCACCAGAGCCACCTACAGCGGACCCAGCCCTGATACTCCAACCTGTTGCACGGACAGACCCGTCTACGGCAGTATAAAAATCATCTCCTCCAAAAAAATCAAATCCGCATTTCAGTGCGGTCTTCACTGTACACAATTCAACATTACGGATACCGATACGGTTCCTAATAGCGATACTGTGCGATCGAGTTGTACCTTTTTCAATTTCAAGACTAATACCACCTCCGGTTTGAATCGTTGCGAGTTGTACTCGAGCCGGTATGCCTGCTTCAACACTTCTGTCCTTGATGGTTGTACGCTATACCAGGTAATGTGAAATGAGTGTGTACGCTTATTTTTTGGGTATGTATGTAGTATGTGTTTGTATGTGTATTTGTATATGTGTGTATGTTTGTATGTGTGTTTGTGTGTGTGTTTGTATGTGTGTTTGTGTGTGTGTTTGTATGTTTGTTTGAATGTTTGTTTGTATGTGTGTTTGTGTGTGTGTTTGTGTGTTTGTTTGCGTTTGTTTCGAGAGTTGTGTTTAAATGTTCTCTGATAGAATTTGTAAAAAGTTGAATAACTTTTGAAATTGGCATGCACCTTGCAATGATTTGATTTTGAAATGTTAACCAAGTATACAAAAAACTTATATTAATTCATAAAAAATTATGTTAATTCATGTTAATTTTTGCGAAATTAGACTAATTCATGTCTCTAGATGTTAATTTATGCAAATCTGGACTATTTCTATGAACAAATAGATGTTAATATATGCAAATTTATGTTAATGTAATTCCAAATATGACCAGAGAGATGACTACGACTCGCTGCGGAAATGCGTGGGGCTGGGTGAGTGCTCGCTATGTTAAATTATAAAAATTATAATTATTATATTTTTGGTTTCATAATTATTTGTATAATTATTCATATAATAATTAATTTTCTCATATTTTTAACAATTGTAGTCTTATGTTTTTAGGTATTTTTGGTTCGTCATGGTCACGTCAGTCTTTTAAAAATCTATTTTTGTTCATTATTTCATTCGTTCGTTTATTCATTCACTCATTCACTTATTCGTTATCGCATTTATTTTTTTATTCATTCATTCATTCATTCGTTCTTTTATTCGTTCGTTCATTCGTTCGTTCGTTCATTCATTCTTTCATTCGTTCGTTCGTTCATTAATTTGTTTGTTTGTTCATCATTCATTCACTCACTCACTCACTTAATCACCCACTCGCTCACTCACTCACTCACTCACTCGCTCCATTCATTCACTTATTCGTTTATTTATTCATTCATTCGTTCACTCATTCACTCGTTAATTTATTCATCCATCCAACAACTATTCTTTATAAGCATGTTTCATTCCCACTGGAAAGACAATTAGTTGTTTAGAAACGCGTGAAGTCGTCCGATGCTTATACTTGCTCAGCCTTCCATTAATTAATTAATTATTAATTAATTAATTTATTTAGTTACTTTTTCATTTATTTTTATTTTATCATTCATTCATACACTTTACTTTTACATTTATCCTCTTCATTCATTCATTCATTCATTCATTCATTCATTCATTCATTCATTCATTCATTCATTCATTCATTCATTCATTCATTCATTCATTCATTCATTCATTCATTCATTCATTCATTCATTCATTCATTCATTCATTCATTCATTCATTCATTCATTCATTCATTCATTCATTCATTCATTCATCCATCCATCCATTCATTCATTCACTCCGCTGTCAAACAGACTTCAACGGGACGAACCACACTTCCTATTGGTCGATTCCGAATCAGGCCACACCCTATCTTGGATTCTCGATTTTTGATTGGCTGGTCATCCTACAGCGCGAAAATAGATTGTACAATTTTTATTTAAAGTGGGCCAGTTATAAAGAGGGATTTGGAATCTTTCCGAACAATTTCTGGATGGGGCTGGAAAAGGTAAATTATAATTTATTCATGAAAATATTTTTTTAGCGTTCAAAACTATTTATTAATAATATTTAAATCTAAATTTTATATATAGGATCGGCATATGAACAAGTAAATAATAAATAAATAGAAAAATTTATAAATTAATTAATTAAATAAATAGATGAATAACATATTATAGGTAAATAAATAATATATTCTTGTTGGCTACAATTTTAATTTAAAAATTAAAACTGAAAATTTGAAACATATTTTAAGAACAACTTTTCTTTACTAAACCCTGTTATTACGTTTTGATGGTTACTTGTAACTTCAAAACACTTTGTCAAATCTACCAACACATTGAGACTACACATGACCAACTAAACCACACCACACTGGCAAGAAGCTGAAACCGCAGCGGCTCTGCAAGCAACCCAGAAAAATTAAGACACCATCGAGTTTTACAAAAAACATTTACTTGAGCAATTGGAACTAATAAGCAAAGAGATTTTTATTTTGAAAAACCGCGATGGAAAATTAGTTAAAGTCAGCTCTGCTTTCGACAGATCAGCACCACCAGATCTTTTTCATTTGGCTCCAAACTCCAGCGGATTATTCGCTGAGGAAAATTCAGTGATGAACCAACTCTCTTCTATGGAACTCTGGCTGCTGCTGTAGAAATTAAGAAGCATATTCAATGTAGTATATTGGTCCATTAGAGTCATACAACATTTTGACAGACGTCATTCAATTAATCGGCACTTTCTTTTTAATGAATTACACTGTCGAGTTCGGTTTACTCCTCTGCGGACATTCCGAAACGACTTTTCGACTTTTAGTACTTCTACCGGTTGAACTTTTGAGATCACGTTCGAGGCAGCGAGAGGAAAAATTGGTTGGTCCAAAAACGCTAAACTGATAAAGCACACGCACACATACAAACATACACGCTACTCACACGTACGTACAATGATATACATACACACAAACTCATACACTACATACACACACATCCCACGCAAGTATAAATACACAAATGTATGCCCACACACAACACACACACACTTTCTCCCCTTCCCTCTCTTACTCTCTTTTACACACACACACACACACACACACACACGCACGCACGCACACACACACACGTACACACACATGTACACACACACGTACACACAAACAAACAAACACACAGGTACACCAGTTAACGAGCACTGCACAGTTGGCAGGCAGGCAATACAGCATGAGGATTGAATACTTCGTGGCTGACAACTGGCTGACTGATGAGTGGAGAACATTCTACCTTGAGAGTGAATTAAAAAAGTATGAAAACTATGGTGTAATGGCATTTGCTTCTACTGTATGTTGTGGAAAATTATTTCACAAAATCTCAAAATGACCTTGACATTTGCGTGTTATCATCGGTGCTAACTCATTAAGTAATTTCAAATTATTCGTTCATTCATTCTCGTCGATCCAGAGCAATCAACGACCCAACGTTCATTCGCACTTTTTCATTTACAACGGCAAACCAATAGCAAATCCGCAACTACACCACGAATACAAATTTCGACTACTCCACCCCCCCATCACCCCTCTCTAGGTACACACTCCGACTCTCCGGATACTTTGGCGATTCCGGATACGATATAATGAGTAGGACGGATTTTGGCGGCGTTTTTATGCAGAACAACATGCCGTTCAGCACGATCGATAAGGACTCTACCGGCTTGATCAAGTGCTGCTCCGTATTCCAAACAGCCGGATGGTTCAGCTCCTGCTGTCATATCGATTTCTTTGGCTCTCCTATCGGTTTCGATACTTTCGCCTTTAACGACTGGTTTCAGATCCAAGCTCTCAGGATGTCTATCAGACAGTATTGATGACGTTTGTTATATGGGGGAGAGGTCAGTCAAACTCGATTGACCCGCGGGCCGCTTCAAGAAAGATTTCTTCTACCGGCTTCATTGATTATAATGACCATTGTTGGGTATATTTATCTGACAAATGTTGACATACGTAATTATAGCAATTTTGATTGTTTGATATTCAAAATTTTAGTAAAGATACACATATATATAATATTCTTTTGGGTTTAGACTATAATAAATACAATTATTTATAAAAATAACTGCGTTTTCGGCATTATTCAACTTGTAGTTGAGTTTCTCAGTTTTTCTAACGAGACTTTTATCATTTTGATGAAGTTTATTAAAGTTGAATAAAAAACTTTCAATATATACATATATTTAAATAAAAAAATTTTAATATTTATATTTATATATATATATATTAAAAGTTTTTTATTTAATCTTAATAAACTTCATCAAAATGATAAAAGTCTCGTTAGAAAAATTGAGAAACTCAGCTACAAGTTGAATAATGCCGAAAACGCAGTGATCTTTAAAAATAATTGTATAATATTTTTCGTAAAGAGCTTTTAAACTTCTTTGTCTAATTAATTTTTTTTATATCTGGAATAAAATTTTTGTTACTTGTATCGGCGTCTATATTTTGGAAATCCTGGCTGTCACACATTCTCATTTTCGGTGTAAAATCATTTTTTAAAGTCATTCAACTCCAATTTTATTAATGCTTACTACACTCTATAAATTTCAAAACAGCTGAAAGTACTGGTAGAAACAAATAAAAACATTTTTTAGGTTTTATTTAAATTTGTCAAAACATTAACTGAGTTCATTTAATAACTTATCTCCGGGTTTTGGTCCACAAAAAATCATAAAATGTTTGAATGAATTAGCTGAAATGTAAAGGCATAATTTGAAACATTTTTTTGTGTGAGCCTCAAACAAAGGCATAATTTATAGCGGAAAAAAGAGGTCGCGTTTTTAATAAAAATTTCAAAAAGTTTCGTCCCAGACAGTGGCCAATTATTGACACACATTGCAGATTGTGTTGTTGCGCTGCCAACAGGTTGCTGTTGTTAACTGGCTGAAAGAAATAGGACGTCCCCTAATACATTTGACAAATTGAAATTATCAAAAATTGTACTAACAACTGACATGTTTTACTAACATAGTTAAGTTTGTTTAATTATTATTATTATTATTATTATTATTATTATAAGCTCGGGCAAAGCCCCTTGCCAAACAAAATTGTTAATGCTAACAACTAACATGTTTATCGGGGATTATTCGTGAAACAATTTTATTTCCTGAACATAATTATTTCTCTTTTACGAAATTTTTCGTTCAAATTTCATTTATTTAAAACTATTTGTAAGGTGGCCATGCTAGATAAGTTACCTGATAGCTTGATCATGGACATCCACATTCTGTCTTCTTTTTTTATTTTTTTTTTATTTTTTTTATTTTTACTCCAGGATGCATCATCTTAACCTTCCAAATGCAGACAAATAAGTTACAGATATTAATTTTACAATGATATACTAGAAATTTTCATAAAAAATCGGAAATTTTTTAAAGTAAACAACAACAACAACACACGTTTAGACGACATTTTCCCAGAGATCGGGGGTTGCCGTTTGGCTACCTATGATAAAACCAAAATATGACAAGCAAGGATCTCTTGCATTCAAACCCCGCCAACGCAACATCGAGATCAGACGCCTTACCCGTTGCACCACCACATCTCTTATATAATACACACACCACACCTCTTATACATTTATATAATACACACATACACACACACATATACATACACACACACACATGGTATTACTGATGACAAATACTAAAGAATGATATTGTACAATGACACACAAAAATTAATGTAGCTATTAGAATACAAGAATATTCGTGCTACAATATGAACGCTGATCGTCGGTACAAAATAAAACCGAGTTTAATCATTTATATAAATTCATTTATTTGTATTTGTTATAACATTGAATAAACATTTATTTCCATTTAATTCTAATTATTTGTTCATGTCAATAGTTATTTGTGTCTATTCATACTTTTTAAACTTAAATTCTTCGTTAGATGTCAAAACTGAAAACCAACGGTAAGAGAAAAAATTATCGCAGCATGACAACATCATCTCAGTTCTCAGTACATTCAGATTCAACAAAATTTTTTAATAATTAAAAAAAACTGTTTTGTAATAACATCATCAAGAATTTCAAAAGAAAATTTCTTAAAACTGAACTAAGAATTCCAGTAGAGTGCATTTACGTCAGAGATGTTAGTCGTGAATCGAACCGAGAGACGGCCTATCGTTGGTTTGATGTAGGGAGTGCAAGGGTCATTTTCTTTTGGCCCGGGTCAGATTATATGTGACCCCTAACTTATTGAGAAAAAACAACCACAACTCACCATTTACCGTTGAGAAGTATTCCAATTATTATTGTTGGTATTATTATTATTATAGTAAAAAATATTACAAGACCGAATCTTTCGTGGAAGTTTCATTATTAATTTATTTTGACAAATGTCATTTCATATCTGTTTTAATGTTATCTTATGTCTGTCTGTCTGTACGTATATATATATATATATATATATATATATTATATATATATATATACCACCATTCAGTGTTGCTGCTCGTAACAAAAAAAGACCAAGACTTAACAATTCACCTGAAACCAATCAACCTAATCCTGCAATAACTAGCAACAAATTGGAATCATCAAAATTACCCACTAAAATAGTTGGCGCTAAAAAAAACGATAATAATAAACTCAGTGCTGATAAAAAATTGATCAAAAAATCTGTATTTGCCATGAGCAACATCAAAAAATGCAGCAGAAGTAATGTGATTGACTACCTATCGGAGGTGGGTATTCAGGTAATTTCGTGCTATCCAGTGCTGAAACGCTCTCTGGCTCCGTCAGGTACTCTGCCTCGTAATGAAGGCGAAGACTCAACAATGTTCAGAGTATGCATCAACGCCAGTGATACTTCTAAAATTCAAGATCCTGACAATTTGCCAGAAAACGTAATCATCCGTGAATGGCGGTTCCTCAACAGTAAATCTGGCCAAACTACATCAACTAACAATGGCTAAAATATCTAACAATCATATATCGGAAGAGGACCCTCTGATTATATCGTCAGCTTCGAATGTTTTGTTAAATAATTATTCAACTACTTCCTCCAATAATGATAATATTCTTTTTTCTAACATTGATCCTCGCCTTAAACTCATCTCTACAAGTTTAAAAACAACTGGCCCTAAAATTTGGAAATTATTTGTGCCTCATGCCATTCATAACATAACAAACAAGCAACTCTTCAAAAAAAGGTTGCAATCTCAGCTTTACTTACTTCACCCCGACACCACCATCTAACGATTTATATACATTAATATATAGCTGTTGTTTAAATATGAATAGAAGTGTGGGTGTGTTGTGCGTGCGTGTGTGTGGTGCGTGTGTGTGGTGCGTGTGTGTTTTTGTCTGTCCGTTATTATTATGATTATTTGACTGTTTCAGAAGTATTATCTGAATATATTTCATTAGAGTTAACATTTTTATAAAATTTCGATATAGTATTTGAATGCATTTGAACGCCGAAATTTATTTTTTTAAATTTTCTAACCTTTGAACCTTTATGTTTATTAATGACTTAGTTAAGGGTGGCCTCTCCACAAGTTTATTTTAAACTTATTTGGTCTTCTATAATGAAAATAAAATAAAATAAAATAAAAAAAAAATGTATGTATGTAAGTATGTATGTATGTATGTAAGTATGTATGTATGTATGTATGTATGTATGTATGTATGTATGTATGTATGTATGTATGTATGTATGTATGTATGTATCTGTGCGTTTGTGTATCTGTGTGTGTGCGTGTGTGTGTATGGGTATGTAGCTATGTTTTTATGTTTGTATGTATGGACAGTGCAAGTCTGTTTCAATTGTTGCGTCTGGGTGTTTGTGTGTGAATGTGTTTGTTCGTTCGTTCGTTCGTTTATTTGTTCGTATGTTCACTTGTTAGTTAATATTCAAGGTAATTAATCATCCCTCCGAACCACGAAACATACAGCGGATACGCTAATTATAAAACCCGCCAGCTGAATGAATGATGATCTTTTGTCTAATGCATAAAATTATCCAACCGTAATTATAACAGTAATTATGATCAAAATTATATTAAAATTATTCATAACTATTTTAATTATAATTAATTATGAATTTTTTTGAAATATTAATAGTCTGGTTTTTATTGTTGCATAGATCTTGTTAAATTGTTCTAAGGCAAACACTGGACTGAGTTTTACAAAAAATAATTTTTTATATGACCAATTTGGAATGAAAATAATTATTACAAAAATTATTATACATAGTAACAATTATGATTATTATATAGATAAAATTGTTAAACATACCATACAAGCTCGCAAGAGCTTCTGGTTTCTCCCAACTTTGGCTGAAAAAATTATTTAAAAATAAAGTTATATAGATGTGTTGATAAGAATAAATGAATATATAAAAATGATGACAACGATTTCCTTTAATTTTCTTACGTTGAGGTTGACTTTGGTACTTTCGGTGTACTTCTTGCAAGTTGAAACTGCATCGATGGCAATGTACAAGTTAGTAACATTTTGCATTGTTCTGGATATTTATTTCTGTGTTCTTTCTGTATCGTTGTATTATTTTTATGTATTTTTGTATCATTTTTATGTATTTTTACATTATTTTTGTCTTTTATTACATTATTTTTTGTATTTTTGTATTATTTTCAACGTGTTTTTTTATAATATTAAATATAGTTGGTCCCCACAATAAAGTCCGTTCTGCGAAACACGAATTTCCATAGACTTCTATGTAAATCGAAATAATTGGTTCCGCGCCGAACCAAAAAATCACAAAAATTGGAAAAAAACAGATGAACAAGCAGAATTCAGCGAACCCAATCAGTTTGTTTTTTTCACTACTCATAAATATTTAGCAACAAGTAGACAAGCAGTAAAAAGTGCAATAACTAAGAAAAAGTCCTACGGACACATTGCTTAACTTCATTAAAAAAAGTTTAAGTTTTCTTTCTGTATTTTTTCATTTGATTTTGCTCAACTGCTCTAGAAAAAAGTTGAGGCCTTTGAAAAAACATGAGAGATTTTCGTTTCATTTTTTTTTTGTAAAGTCGGCGATGAACTGGAAGGGCCCGCAGCGGGAAGGAACACTTCTCTGACACTCAGAAGGCCAGGCTGTGGTATTTCCGGCGTTCTCTCTTACTTCCTTTCTTCTGCCGTTTTCTTCGGTTTTTCTTTCGGTTTGCTCTTTTTTCCGGGATTGCCGGAGCAACAAAAACCTTTCCGAAGTCACCGCTTCTCCTTTGTCTTCAAAGCGTCGCGATATAACTTGAGGTGGTCGTCGAACACTTCGCCGACGGTTTGATTCTGCTTTATCCGGGTGCGTTTCATTTACCCAGTTCTGTAGGCGCATCCAGTCGCTGAGGTTTGACTTGATGTCGGCGGTCTCAAGCGTCGAGATGGCCGTTTCCGATTGTTCCACCGTCTTATCCTGTTTTGCTTCTTCTGCCAGGAGCTGCAATTTCTTCACGTTGACTTCTTGTCGGTGTTTTTCGAGGAGGGCTTCAACCGGAGTCCGTGGAGACAAAAGTTCGTTGTGAGGACCGCAATTTCAGAGAAAATCGTGGTCCGTTCTGCAAAAATTTGTTGTGGAAGTGGTCTGTTCTGCGGGAACCCACTGTATACTTATACTAATTTCAAGTCTAATAATAGTAATAAATATAATTTTTGTTTTTATTATTATTATTCAAATTTTAATTTATATAGCGCGCAATAGGTATCTTGACTTTTTCAAACGTATCCAACATACGTAAAAGGCAGTGTTCATATGTATGACAGACGGGGTTTTTTTGCAATCGAAATCGGTCACACAGAGTTAAGAAGAACCGGATACTTTTAAGCTCTGCCATTGATGTTGTTGTTATTAATAAACAAACTCAATAAAATTATTGAAGAATTTCAATTCAAAAAGCTAATTTTTTTAAATTTCAACTCAAAAAACTATTTATCTTATTTGAACCAGGACGGCTTACAGCAGTTCAAATCCTCCTGATAAGGTCTGCTGTCTAGATAAACCCGCGAAAACAATTTCGGCCCCAAAACCTAGGTCCCAAACCCATTGCGGGGTCCTATGCTTGTTGTTTGGTATCACAACTGTTGATGGACAGCCAAAATGTGGGCATTTCAATATCAAATCTGTAAACAATTCAGTTGTATGCGAGTTGTTTTCACGTAGTAACAGTACCAATGCTTTGTTGTCTCCAGGTTGTACGTTGTACCAGGTTCGTACCTTTGGAAGGTCTTCTATGTGGGTGTTGTAAAATATTTTGAGTTGCTATTTGTGTACTGTGTATCATGTTGTATCATGTTTTATCATATTTCGTCAGTGTATCATGTGTTATCAGTGTATCATGTTTTATCAGTGTGTATCATGTTTTATCAGTGTATCATATTTCGTCGGTGTGTCATGTTTTATCAGTTTATCATATTTTATCAGTGTATCATATATTATCGGTGTATCATGTTTTAGTGTTTGATTTGTACTTCCTATCTTTTCAGTTGTGTGTGTGTACCTTATATTGGATGTACGTGTTGATTTGTGTTGATATTAAACTGTACAATGTTTTCGTGAGACTATAAAAAGTAATTTAAAACGGTTGAGTCATCAAGGGTTTATAAAACTCACAGAGCGAGTTATCACAAACCATTCCTCCAGCCGTCGCTACAACAGCCACAACTGCAGCCCTTACTACAATAGCAACTGGGGCCTCAGCGTCAACGGCAAAGATAGCCACCACACATAAAACTACCACCATTAAAACCACCATTCAAGCACCTGTAACCGAATGCGTTGGTGAGTGAATTTATTTCCCCAACCATGACATAAGCTAAGTTGCTTGTTTTTAGTAATTTAGTTACTATATGAAATTTTGTGCTACTGAAGCTGCAACAACCACACCACACCACACACATCCACACCACACGACGCACATCCACATCACACCACACACATTCACTCATCAACACCACACCACACACATCCACACACACCACACACATCCACACCACACACATCCACACACCACACACATCCACATTACACCACACACATTCACACATCAACACCACACACATCCACATCACACCACACCATCCACACCACACCACGCACATCCACACCACACACACATCCACACCACACACATCCACACCACAGGACGTAAATTAACGCATTTGTGCGTAACGTAAACGCATGCATCGCAATAAAAACACGAAGCGTGCAACATTTTTCAGTTTCGGGCAGGTGGCTTTTGAACCGTATTCGGTCTTTTTCGTTTTTTGTTTTCAATTTTCTTTCAAAGTCAATTTGCCAAATTAACTCAACGCAACTTAAACTAACAAACAACGGAAACTAAACCAACACAAAATTACACATAAACAACACATCATTGTTTATTCTCTCTCTCTCTCTCTCTCTCTCTCTTTTTCTCTTTCTCTTTCTTCTCTCATTTTGCAATTTTTTTTCTCCTAAAAACACACACAGTAAGAAGCCAAACGCAAATAAAAGCACATGAAGTGACACGCAACACCAAGATGCAGTATTCAACGCTAAGCCCACAAAACACAAACTAACACAAAAAAACAATTGTGTGTGTGTGTGTTTGTGCGCGCGCGCGTGTGTGTGTAGTGTGACAGAAAAAACATTGTGTGTGTGTGTGTGCTGGTGTGTGTGTGTGTGCGTGTGTGTGTGTGTGTGTGTGCGTGGTGAGACAAAAAAAACATTGTGTGTGAGTGTGTGTGTGTGTGTGTGTGTGTGTGTGTGTGTGTGTGTGGTGACAGAAAAAACATTGTGTGTGTGTGTGTGTGTGTGTGCTTGTGTGTGTGTGTGTGTTGTGTGTGTGTGTGTGTGTGTGTGTGTGTGTGTGGTGTTCACAGAAAGAATATGAAACAACACACAACAACATAGGACAAATACAAGCTCAACTCACCAAATAAACCAACAACACTTGGATATATTTATCCAAACAGACAACCAGCTCACCGTACTCCCAGTGTCCCTTTGCATTCTACCCTTTACGTACAATGGCCAGATATACTACAACTGTACCAAAGAAGTCAACATCAACTCAACCTGCGGACCAAACTATTTCTACACCTGTCTCGATAGTTCTAGACGGCTTTGTATATGCTCCGATCCAGAAAGTCTGATATGGCGATGGATATGATTGAGATGATGATGATGACTGTTATGATGATTGGGATCGTTCAATTTGCATTTATGTAGGGCAATTTCTGAAAATCCAGTTCAACAGCACAAAAATTACCATGAAGAAAATGTAAAATCAAAAGTTAACAATGAAAACAAGAGAACTGATAACAATAAAAATGATATATTTTAAAGTATTAATATATTATAAAATATAAAAATAAAATATAATATCAAGATTAAAATCTGAAACGAGACCAAACCAGTTTGGCAATCCAACATCAGAAACATTATTATAACTTTGCAGACTTCAACAACACCAACCATACGGCTAATGTGGAAATCCCGTTGGAGGTCACGCCCTATTTGGGCTACTTCATTTATGATTGGCTGGTCATCATGCAGCGCGAGAACAGGCTCTACGATTTTTTCCGAAATTGGGACACCTACAGGAATGGCTTTGGAGACTTTCCTAATAATTTCTACATGGGCAATGAAAAAGTTGGTTAACAGCCGCATGATGTAAATGTATGTAGTGCCAAATGAACGCCATGGTTTGTGAATGTAACTTCTCATTCAAACAATTTCTTGAATTTATTTTTTAAAACATCTCTATTCTTCTTCATAATCTTTACTCTACTTTGATTAACCTAAAAAAAACAAAAACAAAAACCTCCCGACAGGTCCAGCAGCTAACATATCAGGCCCACCAGCAGGGGATTCCTTACAAGTTGAGGATGGAGTACTTCGCATGTGGGAAATGGTGGGCAGATGAGTGGCAATCATTCTATCTTTCTTCCGAGAGCGATTTGTTAGTTTATTATTAGTTATATTATTATTATTATTCTTATTTATTTATTGTTTTTTATTTTTATTGAACTGATTTTATTTCTTCGTGTACTCATTTTGTATGTGTATGGTAAGTATCATAGACTATTTTCATTTTACTGTATATTTTAGACAAAATAAAAAAAGTTTCCATTATTATTATTATTATTATTATTGTTGTTGTTGTTGTTGTTGTTATTTATATTATAACCATTATTATTATTTACGAAGTGAATACGAAACCCGATCGATAAGCTGCTACAAAACAATCAAGCAGGCTTTAGAGCAGATCTTGGGTGCAACAAACAAATTCACATTCTGGAAAGAATCATGGAAGAAACATAGGCACATGACATCCCAATGTACATAACATTCATTGACTTCAGAAAAGTCTTTGATTCAATTGAGAGCGAAATGATGTTTGCTATCTTACGTCATTATGGAATACCAGTAGAGATAGTAAATGCAATCAAAGTGATGTACGATCAACCAAAAAGTCAAGAGCTCATCGAAGGAGAGATGTCTGAAGCCTTCGCCATAACAACAGACGTCCTACAGTATGATGTGCCTGCACCGTTCCAGTTTATAATAGTTATCGGCTAGGTCTGTAGACAATCTGCTGGTGATTTCGGCTATCCAGCACATAAATCAACTTCTGGACAAAAAAACCAACGAACTCGAAGAAGTCAAGACAGCAGATGAGACACCCGAACAAAAAATTAACAATCTCCCATACATGGAAGGCGAAACCAGAAGGGCACAACAGCAGTCATCCGCTATCAAACAGAGTGCCTAAGCGGTTGATTTAGAAATAAATGTCAAAAAGACTGTCCAGATCCAATTAAGTGACGCAAGCAGCATAATGATTGCCAACGACTTTAATGTCTCGGTTTATACATAGCGTCAAGTGAGAAAGACGTGGACAATAGAACTGTTCTGGCATGGGTTGCATTCACCAAACTCAAGACCATCCTGAGATTGTCCAAACACAGTCAAGTATCTAGCGGCAAGAAGTCGGAGTCTGATAGAATTCTATGCACTCCGAATTTTTGATCAAAAAATTTCCGACTTCCACAGTAGAGACTGTAGTTGATAAAATCATCACCACCACCGTCGTCATCATTATCACTACCACCAACATCTTCGTCATCATACTCATACCCATCGTCATCATCGTCATCATCACCCCCATCATCCTTATCATCACCACCCCCACCATCACCACCATCATCATCAGGTACCGACTGTACGTTGAAAACTACCAAGGCGATACAGGTCACGACATTATGGCTTACATGAGCGGCTCTCACTACGTCAACTTCTACCAGCACAACACTTACTTCAGCGTTTCCGGTCGCGACTCATCGACCTACGCAAATTGCTCGGATGGACTGAGGTCGGTGGGCTGGTTCACTAACTGCTACTACATTGACATATTCGGCACCACCAGGTTCGATGTTTACAGAGAGGACGACGACTCATTCCACCCCATCCAGACCATGCGCATGATGATCAGGCAGTTTTGGTAGAACCAAGGCTAGCAACCTCGATGTTTTCCAATGTTATTCTGTATTTTCCGGGCTAATGCGTTTGTTTAAATGAACAAGTGCCTAAGCTAAAAAAAATACAAAATAAGATATAGATAACATTGAGTTCGTCATTTCTTTCTTGGGGTACTGGTTAATTTGGTTTTTTTAGTTTTTCATAAGTTGTTTGGGGTGAAAATGGTGATTGGTTAATGGGCCTGGTTAATTTTTAGTGCGTTGTGCTTTTATGTGCGCGTGTGTGCGTGTGTGTATGTGCGCGCGTGTGTGTGTATGTGTGTGTATTTGTGTGTATTTGTGATTCTTGAATAAAGCGGTGCCTGGAAAATTCGTCATGGGAAATTCATCGTGGGGCTGAATATAATATATAGTTAATTTAGGTGGTGATTCGTCGGTTAGACGAAATCTTGATGGCCACATAGTTGACAATTGAGGCAGGCGTATCGAGCGGTCCGGCCAATATTAGTGCCAACCGTTTTCTCGTAGAGGGTTCGAGCGCGAGCCGAGCAAGTGCAATTAGCTTGAAATTTATTCGAATCCAAGTTGAAATTTGTCGAAATTAATTGAAAGGAGTCGAAATGTGAATTATTTTCAAACATTCATTAATAGATTGAACGACAGTATTGACGAAGGTCAGGAATCGAACACAACACCAACAACTGTACAAATTTAAATCGATAAATTAATTAATTAAGCCGAATAATGAATTAGTTTCGGCAATTAAATGACGAATTAGGCCGAATAGTTAATAGACTTCGGCATTTTAACGGTTAAACGATAGTTAGCAATTAAAAGGTTAAAAAGATTACTCTCTCTCTTTTGCGTTAGCAAAAGAGATTTCAACGACAAACACACACAGCGTATATGAATACGCGTGCAAACCACGCATCATACACATTGCATATGATAGGCGGGGATCTCTTTGTATTCGAACCCAGTAATTGAAATAGCAAGACCAGGCGCCTTTAACCATTGAGCCAATTATTAGTTAGCAATTAATATTATATTGCACGATAGGAATTGAGCCTACTGCAGCTGGTCACCCACAACTATCAACGATAATCTAAGTAAACGAATTCGGTTTCGATTTCGATTGTTAATTTAAATTGAACGGCCTTACAAATATTTCCGCTCCGGGTCTCAATACCATACCACAATGAATTATCCACTATGAATTTTACTCCACGATGAATTCCCCCCCTCCCGAGGAATTTTTCCCACAATGAATTTTCTAGGATGAATTTTTTGTAAATCGAATAAAGCTACTAATACAATACAGAAGGTACCCAACTATTGTCATATTTTATGATTTGTCGAGGAGTTCGAAGTCTGGCTTTAATTCTGATTGACCAGGATGAAAATATTTTACAATTTATATTTTTTAATTAAAAATAAAACTTTATTCATACTTAAAATATTTATTTATTATGCTTTTAATGCCATTTTTAATATAAACATATAATAGAACTGTCGTTTTATCGATGAAACTTTCCACGCAACTGTTAACTTTAAATATTTTTTCTCTCATTGTTTTGAATAGATGACTTTTCCAGCTCTTAATTTATTATATCAAACTTTTTAACATTTAAACAATTTTTGTAATATCAAATTTTTTGAAATTTTATTCATCATGAAAGAAATTTTTGTCCCTATATCTTTCAAATTATCATTTGCATTATAAATCAGCTTTTTAAAACAATTATTCAAGTTTGATATTTTTTGTATTTAAAAATTCTCATTATACAGCAGTCAAATTTTTCGGTGAATTAAGATAGAAATCTAAAACTTTGACGATGCTGCCTGCCTTCGAGTCATGTACTGAACAAGCATGTCTGCAGTGGAGACCTCAAGCTACATCGAGATTGACCGAGCAAAAGAAAAAATGGAGACCTTGTCAATATCTATAATATAATTTATTCCATATCGTCCGGGTCCTATCCTGACCTCTTTTTTTCAAACAAATGGTTGAGTCCGAAAGATAAATTAAGATTAGAAAATACCAAGGTCGACAGGTCTTAAGCAAAGTTTTCCAATTAAACCATGGTTCCCAACCTACTCTTTCGGGAAGCCATAAGGAGCTTTAGGTAGTGCCAAGTCAACCCTTTTATAGAAAAGATTTTCATTAACGAAATAATTTCATTCAGTCAGCAAAAATGTAATGACGATTTGAAATTAAATTATCGGCTTTGAGTGTTGGTGCAGTTTAAATAATATCGTTACAAAAAGCAACTTGGATTCAAACCATTGAATTATGTTGTTCAGAATCTTTAATTTTGTTCTGTTATAACAAAAGTTATATAATTCCATGATTCAAATTTTAAATTTTTTCTTTGGCTCTCTGCAGCTCATCTACCAAGCTTTCAATGGGCGACTGTACAATTTCAACCTCTAGTCTATCATTCATCATTTTCATTTTCAAACCACTCGTTCTATCTTCGTGTTTATTCTATTCTTAATGTCATTTATTTGTTAACATTTTTCATCCATTTTTTATTCAGCTATATAATTTTGTTCAGTTCACAACGAATGCTAGTAACATCTTCACATACGTCTGTATCAATAGAATGACTAGACTACAATTTCACCTGGCGCTTGGTTTAACCATATTTAAACTTACCTGCGCTAGCATACTTTCATATGGTGGTTCATGCTTTATTTAAAGCACTACTATTTGTTTGTGCCGGTGTATTCATTCACAACCACATACATAGACAAGTACAAATCGCCCGTCACTCCTTAAAGGATAACATAGTCGTAACATAGTTGATGTCATCTGTTTTATGGTTCTATCTATGGGTTATATATACCTCTCCAGTTTCAGCCAGGACCATGGCTTCAAGCACCAGGGTACGGTTAGGGTTGTTACATCACTAGAAATGAATTAAATTCACTTTTAAAACTTTGACAAATGCGCCGAGTTTAAAAACCCATAAATGGTTATAGTTATAATAATTTAATAAATAAAATGAATAAATAATATTGAATAAAATAAAAATTAAACATAAACTCCCAAAAAGCTTCTCATAATTTGCACTAAATGATCATGTAATATATAATTAAATAGTGAATTATTGATATTATAATATTATATAATAATAAAGTTTAAACTTTACATTTTAAATTTAACAAAAATACAAATATATTGAATTATATTATTATAAATAAATTATTCATAGTTCAATTTAATAGTAAAATAGTAAAAGAAATTGAGTATAAGAATTAATTTTTATTGAATTCTCAAAAAAATGTCCAGGCAGCTTGTTAGGGATTTTTTAAAGTTGAACACAATTTACGATGCGAAAGTGTTCGTTTGTGATGTCTACAAGCTTAAATTCTGGGAAAGTATGTTGATCATTCAATCATTCATTAATTCATCCATTCATTCATTCATTAATTCTTTCATCCATCCATTCATTAACATTAATGTAATCATTTATCATTCACTCATTAGTTTATTAATCATTGATCATTCATTCATTTGTTCATTCATTCACTCATTTGTTTTTTCATCCTTATGTTCATGAATTGCTGACTGATTCATCCATATAATTATTATCATGACCACATCTTATCTTATTTGGTTTTATTTAATTATTAATTCTAATTAATTTTATTAAAGAAAATTATTAAATTTGACTAAATGAATTATTAAACCATTTATTAAACAGTCTATTAGCTAATTAATTTTATTAACAGTTAAATTTATCAATTAATTAGTTTTTAAACATGTGCTCGCTAAAAGTTAAAAGTTTAATTATTATATTTAATAATTAATAATGATATTAAATATGTACAATATTATTTTTAAAAATATTTACTATTATAAATTGATTTTGAAATAAAATAATATTTGTTTTCAATTAGTTGTATTAATTAGTTGATTATGAATATAATTATTTTCCCAAAAAAGATTTATATATCCTAAATGAAGCTCCAATATTTTGCATCGAGTTGGTCGGTGTCATCAGTAAACTCAATAAAACAGAGAAGATAATTAATTTTTCAAGTAAATAATGTCGAATAATTATTCATAATAATAAATTATAATATCAGAATTAATATTTTTGTGAAATCCAGAATAAAATATAAATGTTATATATTTAAAAAAAAATTATTTCAAGCTATTAAATTTTAAATTCTTCGTGCGTTTAAATTTATTATTTAGGAATAATTAATTTAGTTTTTATATTATGTATTTATAATTACATTACCATAATTAGTTATAATTAAAATTTATTATTTTTAAAACAATTTTCGTTTAAAGTTGATGACGGCACGGCCAGTGTAAGCTGCTGCTACTTTAGGTTGAAATATAAGAGGGTATCCATGAAACCACACCAATGGACCAGTCATAATTTTATAATTTAATATTCATAATTTCATAATTTTATATTCATAATTTCATATTTAACATTAATAATTTTATAATTATTATTCATAATTTTATAATTCAAATTCCTAACATACATACACACATACAAACAAACAAACATATGCACATACATACATACATACACACACACACACATATATACATACACACACACATATACATACACACATACATACGTACAAACACATAGCCACACACATTCATACACACACACGTACATACACACACATACATACAAACATACACACACACATACATACATACACACGGATATATATATATTATTAATTTTTAGGAACATTTCAAATGACTCGAGACCTGTATAGGCTATCCCAGCTTGGCAGAAACTCTAAAATTGGTAATCTCCCACTAGAGATTGGATCTCTGGTTAAAGTTCGAGGTAGAGTTAGAGATAGTCGGGTGTACATGGATAGGCCTACTCATAGGGAGGTTGTCTGTGATCGCATTGGTTAGTGGGTTTGTATGCGTCTTTTGGGGTTTTGTTGGTTTTTCGTTTGTTTTGTTTGTTTGTTTGTTTGATTGTTAACAACAATCAACCGACTAATCAATCAACCAAAATACCAACCTACCAACCAACATACCGACCAACCAATCAATCAACCAACCAATCTCTCAGAGATCCTGGAAAATAGGATGATGGAGATATCATCAAAGCTGGAGAGGTTAGAGCTGCACACAAGATACTATCAACTGAGCTTTCCATGGTTCCAATACACTACTCCTACTCAAATGAAGGTTTTCGTTTCGATTATGATATTTATGGTTTTCTATTTCGTTTTGGATTATGATATCTATGGTTTTCTATTTCGTTTTGATATCAGTATCATAATGGTCACAGTATCATTCTCCTTCAACCAATCAATCAATCATCCAATCAACCATCCATCCAACCAACTAATCAGTAAACTTATTACCCAACTTAACCAATTGACGATGGTGATACTGATGATGACACGACGACGATGATGATAGTGACGATGGTGATGATAATGATAGCGTAGTAGTAATAGCAGCAGCAGCAGTAGTAGTAGTAGTTATAGTAATAGTAGTAGCAGTAATGGCAAATGTTGTAGTAGTAGTAGTAGTAGAAGTAGCAGCAAGTGCAGCTTGTAGTAGCTGTAGTAGTAGTAGCAGTAGTATTAGTAGTAGTAGTAATAGTAGCAGTATTAGTAGTAGTTGTAGTTGTTATAGTAATAGTAGTAGTAGAAGTAGCAGTAAGTGCAGCTTGTAGTAGTAGTAGTGGTTGTAGTAGCAGTTGTAGTAATAATAATAGTAATAATAGTTATTTTTATATTAGGAAAATTCCTACCTTGACCTAGCAATGGCCCTATTAAGGAAGAAAAACGTATCATCGTACAATAGAAACTTATTGGCGAAGATGTGTCCAGATTTCAACGATTATGTTCGTGTGTGTGTGCGTGCGTGTGTGTGCACTGTACATGTATTATGTGTGTATGCATTTGTAGGTATGTATGCACGTCTGTGTGTGTGTGTGTGTGTGTGTTCGTGTTCATTTGTATGTGTGTCTGTATGTGCATGCTGATTGGTATGCTTTTTGTGTGTTATCTTAGTCATAATAATAATAATAATAATGATAATAATAAAATAATAAATAATAAAATAAATAGTAATAATAATTTCCACTCAAAGACAGTTGATAAAGTCATTGGAGAGCTGGTAGACACGGGTTTCTCGTTCAAAGATCATATGGACGTCCAAAAATTTCACGTTGTTATTATTTATTATTATTATTGTTATTATTATTGTTATTATTATTGTTTTTTTTGTTATTATTTTTACTGTTATTATTATTATTATTATTGTTGTTGCTGTTGCTATCCGACAGGTGGTTGAGAAGAGCAGAAAGTTGCAAGAGTCTATCAAAACCTACCTGCTGCGACACGCTGATAATTATGAAGGTGATTATTATTATTATTATTATTATCATTATTTTTTAATTATTATTATTATTTAATTATTATTATTATTTAATTATTATTATTATTATTATAAGCATAAAAAGGATTGAGAGAGTAATAAAAATCATTTCCTTTATTATATAAACAGATATCTAACATACATACATACATACATACATGCATGCATGCATACATACATACATACATGCATACAAACATACATACATACATAAATTCATACATACACACACACACACACACACGTAACAAGGCGTCCGATTAGCAATGATATTCCGCCACATTCGTGAGGAGCTCCAGTTTTCGGCCCTATCGATCAAAGCCTTGAGACACTGCCTCGCCTACATGGTAAGCAGGGATGAACTTATAACCGTCGACAATAAAAACGATTTGTATATGTGTATCGGTTAACCGAATCGGTTTTTTATCGTAATGTCGACAATAAAAACGATTTGTATATGTGTACCGGTTAACCGAACCGGTTTTTTTCGTAATGTCGTGGTTGCTATTTAGTTGTCGCTTTTCGCGGACCGGTTCTTCAGTTCGGTACATTGAATTATATAATCGCAATAATATTAATATATTTAATCGCAATAATAATAATAATGTACTAATAGTTATATAGTTCCATGGTTCGGTACTATTCTGCTTGCTGTTGGATAACGCTTAACTGGACCGTTTATTTTTTGTAGTTATTATTTCGAAATCTTTGGTTGATTGGATGGAGTCTCTATTGGGTTCATTGTTAATATTATTGCAATCATTATTCGTATGTTGTCCGTTAATTTTACAGGTTTTAGAGGCAATTATTATTATTTAATTATGTTTATTGTTCAAATTTGTGTCGTTATTATTCCCAAAAGTTATTGTTACAATAAATGTCCGCTTTTTCTGGTTCTATTTTGTCCCATTGGTCGGTGTAGTTTATTTAAAATCAAAACCTAAGCTAAAATTATGTAATTGGACCTGAAATTATGAAACTGAAACTATTTTTCATTCAAGTGGAAAAGTTTTGAGAATTGAAAAACATTTTTAAATTCTCGAGAAATAAATATCAAAAGAAAAAAGGTAATGTTTGGAAATTAAATGGAATTGCCCTTTCATAAACACCAGCCGAGATTGTCCTCCCCGACCCATGTGCACCTGTCAATACATTTTTCAATGCAATAAATACTTTTCCTTTATTTTCAATCAGTGGTGTATAAGAGTCCCAAGCGGAGAAGATTTTTCCAAAACCGCAAACACCCGCGAAAAGGCAACCTAAATAAGCTCTTGAGGAGGGATATTTATGCATAATGCATGTATGTCGGAGGTGGTCCAACTTTTTGCTGGGAGGACTGCATTTGGAACTATCCGTTCATTCATTCATTCATTCAATTTTTCATTCACATACAACCTTGTCTTTATTGTCTCCTAAATTGTCTTTATTGTCTCCTAAATTGTCTTTATTGTCTCCTAAATTGTCTTTATTGTCTCCTAAATTGTCTTTATTGTCTCCTAAATTGTCACGGTAAAAATCTGCCGACAAAACCAACGTAATAGAATTTCAGCTCTGCTATCAGCAACCAACCGCTGAAATGATATTCGAATGTTTCCCAACAACTGGCACAATCCACAGTTTTAATTCTAAACAAATTTCTATATAGCAAAATAGTTGCTTCAATTTAAATTAATGTCCATGATTATGAAACGTATTAAAGTTAATGAATTTATTTTTAATTTGTATTTAAATAAAAAAATATGAATTCGTAAACACAAAAATTTAACTAAAAAGCTCAATGACATTAATGACAGTATCGTTTTCAACAAGTTATGTTTATAAGAAGGAGTGCTGACGACATTCTACTTGTATAAATTCTCATGTATGAACTTAGGTAGATGAGATTTGAGTTAGTTGAACAAAGGCAATTAAAGTTTAGAAAAAAAATATTTGACAATAGGTGGGTAACTTTGTATCGTCTCCTTTTTATGTTTATGGGTTGTTTTTGTTTTGTGCGTACACGCACGCAATACGCATACAATAAAAAAAACATGATACAAGCAAATACGAACATACCTTTCATGATTGTTGCTTTTTCAATTAAATAACCTTATAATTATATATGCACATCTATATATATATATATGGATGTGTATATATATATATCTTAAACCTTGTAACAACATGATGTTGTTCTTACCGATTGGTCGCGACACCTTAATTTGAGTTTCTTGGTTACAATAATTGAGTTGTGTTATCTCATGCCTTATTCGACAGGCTACTGAGAGACGAAACGTACGTCTGGCCCATGGCGGGTAACAGACTGTTGTTGACGCAACATTTCAAAAATTCAACACTACTTTCAACATTGTTCAACTTTTTTATATTTCTTTATAGTTTAATTGTTTCACAGAAATAAGACATTTTATTGTTTTTTAAAAAATTAAAATTTTTAAAAATCGCGTTTTATATTGTTTATAGTTATTAAATTTATTTTATTGGTTTTCTGTTTTAATTAAATAATTTATATAAATTAATAATTACTTGTTCCTTTATATCAAATATCATACATACCTTATATATAATGCACTGAAGATGAGTTATTTATAACTCGAAATAGCTATTTGCAAATTTATTTAATAAAAATTTTTTAAAAAACAATAAAATGTCTAATTTCTCTGAAATTAATAAATTAAAAAGAAATATAAAAAAGTTGAACAATGTTGAAAGTAGTGTTGAATTTTTGAAATGTTGAGATATATATATACATATATATATATATATATATATACATTGTATATATATGCTAGCTCAGATTTTAGAGCATCAGGTTTTTTTGGCTGTACATGACTGGATTGAAATGCAAAGTGAATACTCTCTTTCTTTCTCTCTCTCTCTCTCTTTCTTTTTCTCTCTCTCTCTTTCTTTCTTTCTCTCTCTCTTTCTTTCTCTCTCTTTCTATATATATATATATATATATATATGTGTGTGTGTGTGTGTGTGTGTGTGTGTGTGTGTGTGTGTGTGTGTGATGAACTTGGATAATTCTATTGTTGCTTTATCAATTAAATAACCTTAATTATATTCAGCAATTTATTTTCAACAAATTGAGCAATTCCCTGAAAATTCGAAAATTCTAGTAAGTAAACTTTAAATTTAAATCTATTCAAGACATATACATTCTTATTCGGTCTCCGCATATTCAACTTCATTCATACCAGCATTCAAATATAAAACAAACACTTTTACAAACAAACATACAAACCTACAATGCAAACAAAATTATACATATAGGGAGAGAAAACCCCAACCAGAGAAGATTTTTCTAAACCGCCTGCATCCGCACTGCTCAACATCCTGCCGTCTTAATCTTACGTTTAAAGTTAGAAGATAGCAAAACCGGAGAGCAATTTATTTACAATATAATTATAATCAGAAGATTTTAATAAATTTCTAATTTAATAATTGAAATAACATCGGCTAGGACAACGAGCTCCACTCTACAATGTAACAACATTCTCAAAAAGTTTGCCTGCTGCATTTCAAGATGTCTGTAACGTTCGTGATGGCGGCAACAGTTGATTGGATGTTAATCACCCCATGCTAGCAGCATGGTAGCTGCCTAATAACAATGAACAGTTCATAGATTTCAAATGACGGACTCGCGTGAAATTGACAATCGTGTCATCAGCAATTTATATATCTGGTACCTCCTTATGATTCACAAATATTTGTTAAAACGCCGAATCATTTCATTCGAAATACTTGTTCAACATATCAGTCGTTTTCCAACCGTGCTTGTCAATTGATATGTAAGTACTGGCTCAGAAGTCAGCTGCATATCATCATTTTTATTAACCTATCCATGACACAGCCTCGCTTAACTCTTCCCAGTTTTTCAAAAAAATATATTCTTTTACTTTTTTGTTTTTGTTCAGTAGCATCTAGTCAATGAATGATTGAATTATAAGCAGTTCAGTTTTATTTGAAAGACACCTTTCGACCGACGAAGCCTGCGTTGTCGTCTGGTGTACATTGTCACAGAAGGCCTTCGCGCTCCCATGCGTTCTACAAAATCCTTCGATTACTGAATCAAATGCAGTCTTCTACGTCTTCTTCAATATCAACTGTCACAAAAAACAAGTGCCAGTGCCAACAATTTCATCATCATTATCATCATTTTCTTTCTTTTTTTCAACCATTAAATCTTCAGTAATATTTTTAGCAATAAAATTTCCATGAATTCAAAGATTCAATAGATTTGCTAGATGACAAACTTGAAAATGAATCTGTATCATCTTCAGGCAGGCTACAAAAATTTTCATCCTTAATTTTGAATTTCTACCCCTCATCCCTCTTAGTCACCAAAACTTTAAAAAAAATTTACCTACAACTTTTTCAACAGAAAAGCGATGAGATATAAAATAATATTTCAAATTAGAAAAAATATAACAAAAAGGCCGTAAGTAAATGTAAATAAGTAAGTATGTATATGTGTGTGTATGTATGTGTGTGTATGTATGCTTGTATGTATGTATGTATGTATGTATGTATGATGTATGTATGTATGTGTGTGTGTGTGTGTGTGTGTGTGTGTGTGTGTGTGTGTATGTATGTATGTATGCATTTGCATGTATATCGAATGTATGTACACACGTATGCATTTGCATTTATATGCTGTATATATATTGTTTTTTTGTATGCATGTACGTATGTATGTATTGTATGTATGTGCGTGTGTATGTATGCATGTATGTATGTATGCATGTATGTATGTATGCATGTATGTATGTATGTGTGCTCCGATAAACATTTGCGGCCGCTATAAAGGCAATCAAAGCGCCGTTAAGTTATAGAATTCGTCCAAAGCATGAGGTTGGTTGGTTTGTTTATTTGTTTGTTTGTTTGTATGTATATATATATATATATATATATATATATATTTTTTTTGTTTGTATTGTAGGTTTGTATGTTTGTAAGTGTGTGTTTCTTTTTCATTTGTATGTTGGTATTATCGTATGTTCGTCAATGTCTTCATATTTTGTTTGTTTGTCAGTTTGTATGCATATATTTATTTTGTTTGTATTGTAGGTTTGTATGTAGGTTTGTAAGTGTGTGTTTGTTTTACATTTGAATTACTAAGATTGTTGTATGTTTGTGTGTATAACTTTTGTTTACAAATTGTTTGCTGTGAAAATTGATCTGATTAACTTACATATTTTTCTGTATAAAATTTTTACTTCATGTTTATTTACATTGAATCTTCTTTAATGGAATTTTTCCTTGTTATTTAATTTAAGACATAATTAAATAACCCAATACAACATAAATAACATGAACACTGAATCATTTATAACTAAAACGAACACACACACACACACACATTGAAAAACACAAATACACTCACACACATACAGGCTGAAAAAACATT